CGGCGCCATGGCCGAGCGGGGCCGCTTGGGCCTGGCCGGCGCGCCCGCCGCGCTCAACACGCCCGTGCCCATGAACCTGTTCGCCACCTGGGAGGTGGACGGCTCCAGCCCCAGCTGCGTGCCCAGGTACGCCGCCGCCCGGCCGCTTTGTTCCCGCGCGCACCTGCCGGACACCCGGGACCTGCGCCCGGGACTGTCCGCCTGGGTCTGTCCATCCGGGCCCTGCGCACCGCGCCGTCCCCACCGGGACTGTCCGCCTGGCACCGTCCACTAGGGACCTGCGCCCCGGGTCCCCGCCCGGCACTGTCCATCCGGGACCTGCGCCCCGGGCCGACTCCACCCGGGGCCTCGTGCTTGGGGGAGGGGGGGCAGCGGGGACAGTGCGGCGGGGCAGTCCCCCGGGACCTGCGCCCGGAGTCCCCACCCGGGACCTCGCACCCGGGGCCCCCACCCGGGTCGATCCACCCAAGACCCGCACACACGACCGTCTGCCCAGGGTCCCCCACCACGGGCCTCGCGTTTGCGCCCCCCACTCCGGCTTGCGCGTTCTGTGGGAGCAATCTCTGACGCGTGGAGGGCCTCTGAGGTCCTGGCACCGCCGGGAGGGAGTGGCGCGGGTTTCTCCGGCCCCGCGGTCTTCGAGGCTCAGGGAGCTCACCTGGTTCCGCTCCCTGGCCGCTTCATTGCACCTGTCCACTGATGCGGTGCTGGTGGAGTTGACTCAGGTGTCTTCTCTCTCCACTGCTGTCATTTCCTTTTGCGGCCAGCCACCCTGTCAAGCCTGAGCGTCCTGGGAGTGACCGCAGGGCCCGCAGTGTCCAGAGAACACCTAAAGTTGGGACCATGATTGTACTCTTTCATCCAGCACACGCCTGTTTACTCCCGGTCTTGGGGGCCTGCTCTGTCCTGCTGGCCCTTTACCTGTTTGCACTGTGCTTCCTCGTTTAGAGACACCTGCGTGTTGGTGAGCAGGGCTCTTTGCATCGGGCTGTCAGTTTCGCCATGGCAAAAGACCTCCCTCTCACTTGGTGGGGAAGCGCCTGGACCCCCGTGGCAACAGCTGGTCGAGGTCTAGCCCACAGGCCAGTGCTATAGCCAGATCAACTCCACTCGGACTGGCAGCTTCCCTGTTTTTCTTGCCAGCTTGGAGCTCTCTTGGTTTCTTCCTGACTCAGTGGTCCCCGATGATGCAGCTCTCAGGCTGAGAGGGGGAGATAGACTCACACTAGGGTCTATTGTGGAGTGGACACCAGGCCTCCAGGGCTGCAGGGAAGAGTGCTCCCTGGGGAGACCTCCTGGTGAGGACCTCAGGATTGCCATTCAGGCACAGGGAGTGGATGGTGAACTCCCGGGGGGGGGGGGCACACACGCGGCCACAGCTCATCCTACAGGTGTTGCAGAGCGAGGTGTTGGGGATTCCAGTCTGTGGGGTTTGCCCTCCAGGAGTTGAGGGCTGGGAGGTCAGAGCATTGGCTGTGCCAACTGGAGAGGGTGGGCCCTCAACACACCTGCCAGATCTGCATGGGGCCTCCTGTGTGACCTGAGGGTCAGTGTTAGCCAGGGTTTGGGGCCAAGGACTCCAGATCCACCTGCTTGCATCTTCTCTGGGAAGTGTCTGGGCCTGGTAGCCAAGGTCAGGAGCGTCTCCCCAGGCCCAGCCGGCTCACCTTTTCCCATCTTGGGCAGTTGCCTTAGCGTGGAGCCCCACAGCCAGGGTCATTGTGGACTCCCTCCCCACCTCCCAACCCACTGCTTCTGTCTGCCCCCCTATGCGTTGTCACCACCACTACCACCCAGTGGACCTCTTGTGCTGGCTGCCTTCTGCCACTGCCCTCCAAACCCATGCCTGTCCCCCTCCTTTCCCCCAAATCCACGCCTGTCCCCTCCTTGCCTCCTCCTGTCACTGCCCCCAAACCCATGCCTGTCCCCCTCCCCCAAACCCACGCCTGTCCCCCTCCTTCCCCCCAAATCCATGCCTGTCCTTTCCTTGCCTCCGGTCACTGCCCCCCAGACCCACGCCTGCCCCCCTCGCCTCCTCCAGTCACTGCCCCCCAGACCCACGCCTGCCCCCCTCCTTCCCCCCAAATCCATGCCTGTCCCCTCTTTCCCTCTGGTCACTGCCCCCCAGACCCACGCCTGCCCCCC